GCATAGGACCGTCGTGGGGCTTTTCCTCAATGTTGGGTTGAAAGGAGACATGCAAGTGGACTGTCGAGATGAAGTCTTGATACTTGTGGATGAGCTCCTCCAGAGGTTGAGTAGATGCCAGCGGGAAGGGAATAACGAGAGTTCGGAAGAGAATTCCAACAACAGCGTGCCGCATGAGCCAGCTGACGCAGCTCAAGGCCTTGACATCTTGAGTTGACAGATGGCTCACGATTTTTGCGACAAGTTCAGCAGGGAGAGTATCGAGATTGGCCATGTTTAGATCGATGAAGAAGAGTCCTCAGTTTGAAGAAGAGAAAGACCCAAATGAACTAAAATACTCTCATGAGACTCGTGGTTGCCTGTCGTCGGCCATTGCCATTTGTTCCCATCACGAGCTTGGCGTAACGATACAATTTTTCATAAAGAAGGTAGAGTGACATAAAACACAGCACAATTGCTCACTGCATTTTAGTGCTTCTACTTGTGTTGGGCCAACGCCTAACGCATCAATAGTCTTACCACGTAGTGGATCCCGATGCGCCACCAACCGACTTGGCTCGTGAGATTTTAACCTGAAGGAGCTGGAGCTCGGCACGCCTCGATAGTAATTGGACGACGACCTTGAGGCTGAAATCACGACTGCATTCCATTCATACGATAACTGATCAATGTCAAATATTCGGCTAATTGTGGTCCAATCTGATTCATGCACCTGAAGCTCGGTCTAAGAACAGTGTTATTGGTCTGACGACTCATGCGATATCCTTGACATCGTCCCACTGATAAATGATGTGCCTCTCTCCTAGCGCTGTCTTGAGGACGATCAGCAAATCGTCAATGCTTCCTAGAAATTTGAGATACAGCGTCACGGCAACGCAGTATCGTCGATGATCCTCATCTGCGACTAGGGTAGTCGTCAAAAGGACTTCGCTTTTCGAAGCGTAAAATGAATCGATGGCGCGTCGGACAAGCGGTGCAGGTAATCGTTCGGGTAGAGGTGAGCCTGTGCGTAGAGCCTGTTCAATGATGCCGAGAACAGCCATGACATCTCCAATCGATCGCTCATCGAGGATGTTCGCAACGCGGATAAGACGGTCCTGCATCTCTTTTGGTAGGGTAGATGCGAGATTGAGAAGACCGCCCAGTGCTTGGTTCATGTACTGCAGCTGCTCCTTCGTTTGTGCAAGAACCTTTTGGTCGAAGGGCCCAAAGCTCAATTCGCCTTTCAGCAACGCGATGGAAGGACTCACAGCGAGTAATATCTCTGCAACTTCAATCGAGATGTGCTCCGCTACTGCACCCAGGCCATGATTTCTATCCGTTCGGCCCCAGTGAGAAATCAGAAGAGCGTAGTGATCTGATAGACTTCGCACCGAGTTTGCGAGAATCTTGCAGACGTGCGTGGTTCCAGATGGTGGACTCGGGAATAATTGCACGACGAACGCAGCGACGAAACCGATCAAAACTGTAACGACTCGCTTCCAGAATGCTTCGTAGCCTTTACCGGGAAGGCCATATTGGACGATGTGATCGTGGTCCCAACTGAAGCCGAGAACGAGACAGAAGGTAGCTCCGCCCATGATTGTAGCAAATGCGAATGATGGAGGAAGATAAAGGCGCCACCATAGCATGGGAATGATCATCACGCCTGTTGAAGCTGCCATGCCATATGGATTGCCGACACCACTTCCAGCACCGATATACCAAGCCACCATACCTATGACTCCTCCGACAATAGTTCCAATCGTACGAGCGATAAGTGAAAACGTAAAGTCAGCCAGATACACAAGCAGAACAGTCTGAGCACTAATAACGGCCCAGATGCCCTTCTCCCGGTAGAAGAAACCAGCTGTACTGGGAAGTACTGCCGGTATGGACGTCGCAATGGTAACAGCAACCATTCTCAGCGCATACATGCCAGACGGATTGACCAACCAGTTGTACGTCGCGATGAATACTCGACCAATCTTGCTTCTCTGTGCAGAAGAGCCTTTGTATCCTCGGCTGATATCTAGTCTTCGTTTCGTCTCTTTTGTTTGCTCATCGAAACTTTCACCATCCATCATTTGATCTGGATCTTCCTCTGTTGAGATATCGTAACCTGGAAAGGTGATTTGTCCGTGAAATATCCAGGCCAAAGCATATTGTAGCCGTGATGGAACCCATATACGATGGCTAGTTCGTTTTTCGGAGAGGTGAAGTATGTACTCCAACAACTTCTCAGTCGCAATGGCCATGTTCAGAATTCGTTCCTCGATTACCATAGCAATCACCATGCTTGGTAAGAATGGTCGATCAGTTCCCGCCATTGGCTTGAGGCGGCCACTCTCGTCAAACAATTCGGCGTGAGCCTCGAGAACGCCCTTTGTTGTGTTGATGACGCATGCCTCCCTCGCCTGCCGTGACCTTGCCAAAGTATCGTGGAGATTTCGGTTCAGTTCCTCCCACCGTTCAGGCGTCGGCTTTCCCATCCATCGGCAGGAATTGACAGCATGGATGTAATCTGCCGAAAGATTGATAGCTTGCGGCCCGATCTCCAGCAAGTCTGATGTCGTATCTCGAAGCGTATTTCTCGTCCGAGAGCGTATCTCGGATCCTTCAGGCCTTTGGAAAGCACTCAAAATAGTGGCATTTTCGTGTCGATGGTGTTGACCTATCTCGTACTTCTCCTTATCCGTTGCTGGGCCAATTCGTCCATCTTCTTGAGCCTTGATATGTTCCTCTTCCTTCTGCTTACCGCGGACTTGCGCGATCTGGAAGTCGAGAAGATATAGACTGGAAAACATGACTTTACGCGCTCGCTGGTGCAAACCTCTGACATCATCTGCGTTCCATCGACCGCGAGAAAAGTCAATCGGAAGAAACGCGAGGGCTGGCTGACCGGCCTTGAAGACAGCGATCATACCAGCTCTATTTCCTTGGAGCTCAGCAAGCGGGATGGCCTCATCAGCAAATCGCCTCTTGGTTGCGGAAAGTGCTGAATTGGACATGCGGACTAGCTTCTCAATCTGACCGAGAACCATGTACGATGTTGACTGGGGGAAGAGAAGCAGGCAACATGCTAAGCCCAGACCGATTCCAATGGCTCCAGGTTTGACGAGAATAGCTGCGAGGTCGCCTTGAAATGAGGGAAGTGTCGGGCCAAAAAGGATAAAAATATCGGTAACAATCGTTCCAAAGATCTGCATGAGGACAAGCTTCGGATTCGCGCATCGCAGTCGAGCCAAGACGTAGATGAACAAACAGCCCATGCTGAAGTACACGGCCGTGACTCTTGCATCCAGCATAAAACCCTCATGAATCAAGATCTGCGCTTCCCACGCCGGCGTCTGTCCTGTCGTCTTCGCAATCTCCCCAACCTGCTGCTGCAGCGCCTGGAGCTTAGCCTGTGTCTCGGCATCAGAGCGTGTCGCCAGCGCAGCCTTCGTCGTCAAAAGACCCCAGCACCACGCGAGACACATTCCTAACAGCAGCGATAACGCGGCAAGGAGGTAAATAAACAAAATGCTAGCCGGCGGAACAGCAAAAAGAAGAATTGCACCGAGGAACGTCGCTTGGCCGATCTCGACGAGGCTGGGGTGGATGAAGATGAGGAGCATCATAACCCATATCGCGATCCAGCACCGAAGAAAGATCTTCATGTCGTGGGCGTTGAAGTGGTCCAGCCATGGCGGGAGTTTTCGCTTTGGTGATGCCTTGGCGGCTTCATTTTGGTGAGCTGACGCTTCGTCAGAGGAAGTCATTGCTCATCACCTCAATTGGTAGATCTGTGAAGCAATTGAGGTGTTTTGGTGACGGTGTTTGGAAGAAATGAGAGATAATTTCAGCCGCTGAGGCCGGAGCTAGAGGTTGGAACTTGGTCTGAGTAAGACTTGACTATGACGTCTGTATGGAGAAGGTGAAACTCTATTGGTGAGACTAGTCTGAATGCCGTTGGGAGACGTTGGAGGAACGACGACCAGATAAGCCGTTTCGGACATTCATTCTACTACTGGCCAGGGTTTTTGTTTCCTGTTCTTCTGTTATTCTCTCTCATCTCGGGACATTCTCAAGACGTCATGTGTTAAAGCTGAGATGAACCTCGGCGTGAAGTGGAGGGCGGGAGGATCCATCTTAGCGCGAGTTGTTCCATCTTTTCAGCTGGTGGAGTTGAAGTCGGTGCACTAGACGATGCCGTAGCCGAGAGGACCAATCAAACGATCAAGCAAGATATGAACCTGGGGTATCGAGACTGGGAGCTCACATACTATTGAAGGTATGTTGTTATGGCGTGCACTTCTTACTGGGTCGACATTGGTCGCTTGAGAACTTATAAAGCCTGACTACCAGCGTAAATTCATTGGGTCACATCACAACCCAAAGAACTGACAACTTAAGAGCTGCGAAACGAAGTACGTGATCTTTCACTCTGCTGCTTCTAATTTTTACAGACCGTAATTCAGCTCGTGGATTTTTGGACTTTAATCCAAAACGTTCTCTATAGCATACATTGATCTGTTTTATACATAGCAATCCAACACTTTATGTCTTCGTTATTTCGACCTCTGTGTGTGAAAGGCAGCGGTGAATGATGTTGTTATTGTGTCTAGGGCCCACCGTTGATCGAGACAGCAACTAAGAACATAACAGGTAACAGATAATAACAAATCTTGAGCAAGACTCCCAAAAGCCAGACTAGCCACCGAAGTATATATAACACGGAGCCAACAGTAAATTCCAGAAGCTCATACAGACTGCTTCCAAAGCAGGCCTGCAAAAACCGATCTGACCAATTAGCCAAAAATACAACCATAAAAGTCATTGCTGCAAGATAAAGTATGCCCACTACCATAACCAATAGTTGCTCCATTGGGTGGGCCCTCCGGACATTTGCTGACTGGTGTTGTGTTGAGAATTCAGAAGCATCGGGAGGTGTGAGTTCAGATGGGCTCAATTCCTCCCCGAGCTTACGCGACAGGGCGATATCACGATTCATGGCCTTCCACATCTTAATGTTCAAATCATGAGGCTCTAGCATTGTCATTTCTACGTGCTGTCAGCTCAACAAACATTCTCATGGATACAATAGTAACCTCACCGTTTAGATATTCATCTTCAGGGCCCTCTCCAGGAAAGACGTCGCCTTTTTTTGCTTCTTTGAGTTCCCTATTCCAGAGAAGATGTCTGCATTGTTTCAGGAACAACCAGAAAAGTATAGGGGATTGTTGCAACTGGTATCGCCCGAGCAATCTTTCTTGTCTGTCTGTGCCCGGCAGTTCCTTCCTTCGGTCCAGTTGCCCATTTATAAGCCAGACCCGAAACATCACGCATGATTCATTCACGTTCTCAGGCATAACTTGCGCTCGTGACAGGATCTTAGGGCCCAGATCTGGTGAGACCCATCGATCTGCGAGCATCTCGTAAACCATAGCAACAAGTTGATCTTCCCTAGAGCCATCTCCAAACTTCGCAGTCGGATCAAGCTCAATAGGGTGGTCCTCGATGTCATTTCCTTCTTCATCCGACTCATCTTGAAGATCGAATTTGATCTGTTGGTTTGCATCAATCTTGGCATCATGGCCTTGTTCTCGGCTGTCTTTGGCCTCTTCTTTGTCGGCCGGGCTCTTATCAAGGCCATCAAGCCACCGTGCGGCAGCATTATTCTGGTTCTTATAACTCTCGATGTCAAGATGATTGCTGACTGGCTTATTCGTGGTACGAAGTGAGACATTTCGCCCTTCGGCATGCATCAAAGCCGTCAACCGCGTAAGATACCTCATCTGCTCTGCGTGGTGTTCTCCGCCCAGTCTTTTGCCAACCTCGCAAGGTTCCGTCAAGAACCATTCAAGGAGATCCAAGAATGCGGTCTTTTTGTTAAAGATGACTGTTAAGCCGTGAAAGGCATGGTCCAGCAGAAGACCGTTGATGATACGGGCATGTCGCCTGGAAATTTTGAAGAATGGGAATGAGAAGGTATCAGTCTGACGAAGTTGTTCATCCCAGCCTGGTCGTTTTGTCAATATTCCGTTCACCAAGGTCGAGTAGCTATTGATAGCTTTGTGAACAGGGAGATCTTCTAATATGGATGTTGTTCCTGGGCCATAGATCAAGTCGATTTCAATCTCTCGTTGAAGCTGACGCATAGCCTTTATCTCGGGATTGCTATCCTCATGTGGCTCTGGAAGATGCTTACTTCTCAAGACGATCATCAATCGTGGAGAAATAGGCGCAAATAGATGGAAGCGGGGTGCTAGACTCAGGAACTCTCCTGTTGTCTTGTCCTGAAAATCGACGGTTGGTCCTTCGTACACATGGCTTCCCGTGTCAGAGAGAATGAACTCTTGGTCCTCGCTGGAAGGGGTGCAGAAGGACATCCAAAACTCGGTGATGTTTTCCACGAAATGGAGGAATAGGCCATGGTAGACAGTTGATTTGAGAGTTTGTTGCCAATTTGCTGTTACGCTCATATCGAGATCGATGATAGCACTCAAGGCCCCTAACCAAACATCTAACGGTCGTTGAATTCCACGTCGATCCATAAACTCTTTCAGAAGGTCCTGGTCGTTACTTTTATAGTCGTTGATGCTGTTGCAGTTGTATGTCTTGAAGAAGCCCGAACCTCGTTGATTGAGTAGATAAACGAACTTGCGAAGTATTGTTTGCTGTGTCCTTGTGAGTTTGACCTTTCCTTCTCCACGTTGGTGAGCACCAATTATCTTGCGAATCACAACACTCGTTTTGTCCTCTAGCCTGCTGAATTTGCCCTCCAATTCGCGAGGGATTTGTGCGTTTGGCGACTGATCTGTGTACATGTCAACCAGGCCGCATACGCGTTTGACAGAAAGCTCCTTAGTCTTGTAACCCTCTGGCAAAAGTTCCAAGCAATTTACGACAGGGTTGCCGGGGTATCTTCCTTTTTCGTGATGGTGCTTCTTGCATTTTGAGCCATTGGCAGGGGCCTTGGGGCACTTGTAAGGATGGCCGAAGTTCTTCAGGATGAACTGTGGGATGAAGTGCTGGTACTGCGGCGCGTCGGCTGACATGATATCGGCTGGTTGGTAGCTTCACGGTTTTCTTTCGGTTATCGCGTGAAGGTAGAGAATTACGGATGGTCTGCTTTCGGTGGGTTGAACTTGCGAACCTGAAATTGAAGCCTAATGAGAAGGGAAGCGCGTAAGCAGTGCCACGTCTGATTGGGGACCAACAACTTCAGCCGCAGTCTAGATTCAAGGCGGGGTAGTAGCTCTTCCACCAGTCAGTTGCCAGTTACTAGGATTAGCCGTCTTTGAACCGCCAGCAATATCGAGAGATGTGTAACATCGTGCAGAAAGGAAAGGCACATAAATAGCATCATAGTAGAAGCTATTTACAGTCCAAGGTGGGGGCGAAAATTCTCATAAGACGGCGTGCAGATTACACCGCTTGGCTCTATAAATATTGAGGGTAATTCGTGAAAAGCGAAAATTTAAGCATATCATTAAGCTTGCAACATTGAAAAAGTCTATCTACTACTTTGCGAAAATGAAGTTCACACTCAGTGTCTTGGCACTTGTCGTGTCTGCCAATGCGTGGACCATGCAATTCGACTGTCCAAGAGGCTCTGGCTTCGAAGGGTCCTATTCTGGTTCCAAGAACAAAGGCTGCACAAGCATCCCAACTTGTGTCAAGGGCGATCATGTACGTAATATTCCTCACTGGACTTGCCAAATGTCTGCTGACTGATTACCTTTCCATTAGATGGTCTGGGGTAACACCAAGAAGTCCAACTGTGTTCTCAGGCTTTATACTGCTGCGCCATGTGCTGCCGAACAGGAGATTGGACACTCGAAGGAGAATTGGGATCATAAGTTTGGTCAAGCTGTTTGGGCTTGGGGAGTCACGAACTGTTAATGGGGAGTCATTCCCAGCTTAAGCGGAAAGAGTTCTCGACAATGTGGTGATTATGGGGGTTTCCAGATAGCTATTGACGGTATATACAAGAAATGGTGATTCTAACCGCCTTTTCACAATGTTTAACCAGTTAAGTTCGTCATATACTCTTGAATTAGTACAAGACCTCAAGTGGTGCACTGAGAGTAGAAGTCATTGAGCGCCTTGCAAGTACCAGTGGCGCAGCACTTTGGACCAGTCCAGGTACTTCCGCCGCACTGGGCCCAGAGAAGAGCGCACTATCTCAAGTTAGCACGTTTTGAGTACCTCTGGATAGTAGTGGACACTCATGGACTTGTGACTTACCTGGCCAGATGGCTGAGTCGACACGGGAGGAACCTGTGTAGATGACGCTCGGGTAGAAGTCTGTAGAGTCGTAGTGGGGTCACTGCCGCCACCATCACCGCCGGGGGCGCCGTTGCAGGAGAACTGGAGTTACGGTCAGCCACCATAACCGCATGCGGGAGAGTTTCTTTCCTTTACATACCACTGCAGGTCCAGGAATGGTGTAGCTGTTGAAGTTGGAGTAGATCTGAGAGGCCAAGCGTTAACACTTCCTTATTATTTACGTAGGATAAGTCTTACGTTGGCGGTGTAGCCAGGATCGGTTTCCTTGAAAGCACCAGGAATCTTGACCTGGTTGCTGGGAACAGTGCTGCCTCCACCGGAAACACTAATCTGGGCGCAGCTGATGTAAAACTATGATCCCTAGGGTTAGTTTTTGTGCATCTGAGATTTGAAATATTGTCGTCTCACCTGGGGAATACCCGCAGGCCAAGGATTGTGAATGCCTAGACTCTGGATGCGAAGGAGATATTCGCCGTTGGCAATGCAAGTAGGAAGGTTAAAAGTGTAGCTGACTGCGAGCATAATAAGGTCAGTTCATGAAAGGATTGCTCCCACGGATGTCAACTCACGGTACATGGGCCAGGTCGAACTACTGCCACTAAAGGTTGGGCCTGTTCATGCGTCGTTAGTCGTTCTTCAGTCATTCGAACTGATTGGCGACAGCCTACCCCAGTCCTTAATCTTGAACCAACTACCGCTTCCATCGTACGACGAGGCAGTGCTGGGGGCCTTTGACATGTACACCGAAATCGGTCCTTGGTGGTAGACAGCAGTGTCAAGTGTGAAGGTAATCGAGTCGCCAGCCTTGACTCCGACAGTCTGGGTGTTGGTTCCTGAGGTGCCGACATTGCATCGGAGATCGTTAGAGGCCAGGTCTAAGACATGAGTATTAGTAGAATACCCCATGGACGCCCTTACTATGTATGAAACAAGACATACCAGTGACAGGAGAGTTGTAGTTTGTGTTCTGTCGAATGTACTGGAAGACTGGATACTTGGTCGACCCAACACTAAGCTGCTGGAAGATATAATGAGCAGAGGTGCTCTGCACCAAGGCTACAACCACCGCGAGCGAAGTAGCGATCTTCATAATTATGTCTCGAGATGATGCTGATTGAGACTGGCCAAAGGAGAAGTATGGGGTGATGCAGGTTCAGGAGCGAGATATAAAAGAATGCTGCGGGTTGAACGGCACGGACTTGTGAGTGATCACGTTCCTGATGGCAGTCAGGCCGTCGCCCAATGGGAATGATATGATGGTCTTCCATTATAGCTCCATTATAGATTGAGTGGTCTCGATGCGTCAACTGACAACGCTGTCAAGTTCCGACAGCCCAAAAAAGGAAATGATGCTGATGAATCTGGGCGATAACAACCCACCACAGTCCAGAGATGGATGTAATGGAGAAACATGGTTGTTCCTCTGGATGGCAAGATCGAGGGATACGCGGGAGTTTCCTTTCATCGTGAGCCTCCATTGTCGTGCAGATGACAGCTATTACAGCGGCTTTTCTACGCAATTCTCTGGTATATTCCTTTCGTCTCAACTTTTGTTGCAATAAGAAATTGGAAGTATCGACGCATAAAATACCGGTGTTTCGGACCTCGCTTGCAAGGTAGTCGATGGATTCACCGGTTAAATCAGAATTCGGAATGTCATCCTCCGTTCTCGGATCCGGGAACGTGGGCGACCAACAATGTAACACTCGTCCAGACTTTAGGCATTTCTTGCTTCGTAAAAGAAGTCACCAGGTCTATCACTGTGTTCTTGAAGGAATAAACTCCTGCAGCTTTTGTTGTATTTGAGACCGTATCTCACTGTCATCAGTTCTATGTTTCTCTTTGGTCAGTAGCTACTTATACACAAATCCCGTTAAAATCTTCAAGTCAATTAGTATTTGACGATTGTTTGTTCAGGCCGAGCGTCATAACCGCAGATGCCGTTGAATAAGATTGCATGCAGCTGGCGTTATTGCGGTTTAGCACAGTGTCTGTCCTGCTAACCCAGTTTGGAACGGGTAGTTCTGGGAGTCACCTACACCGAGGCTCATCAAAGTCTCGAAGAAAAGTATGTAGCTGAGAATAATCAAGCGATGATCAAGGCATTCTTTGATGGTATCGAAATGGTCTACGACTCTGCCTGGAACCAAGACGACTCATTCTGTAGCCCCGCCCTGACGATCTGCGTAACGATGGCGATCTCCAGGGTAGTTTAAGCCAATGAAGTGACAGGACAGTCATGTCCAAGAGGAAACACCAAACCCCGCATCGCGCCACCAAATGAAGTGAGTCATATCAATCGTGGCTGCTGAATAAAAGAGGCATTGTTCTTCACAAATCCTGAAGCAGAAAGACACACTGCCCCTGATCGTATCTACAACCAATAAAGTCCTCATCAAGCATCCCAGCCTCATTACAGCTCAGTATCAATCCATCACCACCAACCGAAACAACATCAAAATGGCAGAAGGAGCCTTGCCTCACAGAGAGCTTGATCTCATTGGCAAAGTTGCAGTAATCAGCGGTGCATCGCGCGGCATTGGTCGCGCTATCGCCTTCAACTTGGCTTCACGAGGATGCTCTATCCTTGGTACCTGCGTCAGTGACAAAGGCGTTGAAGCCTTATCAACAGGCTTGAACAATGAGGTCACCGGCCGTGTTTACAAAGCGACATCTAGAGAGCGTCCATCAGGTCAACAAATCAAAGGAATTATAGCTGATGTCTTCTCTCCCGACTGCGCAAAAACAATTGCCGATGCTCTTCAAGAGTCCTTCAATGGCCGCGTCGACATCCTTGTGAACTCAGCTGGTGACCCGATGCCTGGAGTTATCGGCCAAATGACTACAGAAGAGATTCAGCGAAGTCTTCTAGGAAACGTACAAGCCCCGGTTCAAGTCGTCGAAGAACTCGTCCGCCGAAAGTTCTTCCAGCCTAACAGCCGTATAATCTACATATCATCAGTGCGTTCGCGCCTACCATGGGCCGATCAACTCATGTACGCCGCTGGCAAATCAGCCGGCGAGTCGCTGTGTCGAACATGGTCACAGGCTTTTGGCGGAAAGGATGAGCGATACGCTTTCATGGCAGGGACTACAGCGAATGCTGTTACAGCAGGTTTAACGGAAACCGACGCTGTTATGGATTGTGGACCGGAGGTGGTCAAGACCTTTCAGGATGAATTCTTTCCCTTACAGAGTATACCCAAGTTTGGACAGCCTGAGGACGTGGCTGATGTTGTTGGGATGCTTTGTGGCAATGATGGAAGATGGATTACTGGATCTGTTATTAGTGCGAGTGGTGGTTGTATCAAGATGCAATAAAGCTCTTGCATGTCACTAATGGCAAATTGGATAATAGTTTTCCCAAGTTTTTATTGACAGAGTTTGCCAAAACAAGAAGACTATGGTATCTCTAATCAAAGAAGAAATGGAAGAATAGCCAAGATGATCTGTAAGCATCGAGGGGACCGCTAACATCGACAAGCAGCATTTACTTCCACAGAACGCCAATACTTCTGCCGACTTAGGTTGCTTTCGACTGAAGCTCGGCAAAAGCCTCAACCGCAAGCAAAGCATCCCGAGCCCGGTCCTCCCGAATGATACCACCGTCAACCAGATTCTTCAGGACATCACGCACATACTGGCGATTGAACTGCGTCTCGCCCTCTGGGTTCTCTTCCAGAAGCACGGAACGAATCCGAGTTTCGACATCACCAAGCTTAGAGACCGGAATGCTGGCAACCTGAAAGAACTTGGAGCCTTCAGGGGGAGCTTCACCCTTGATCAGCGCGTAGCGAGCTTCATTCTGACGACCCTGGGCTGTGAGCCAGGTGCTGGTGCTGTGAACGAGGACGGCGACCATCCAGCGGCTAGGGACCTTAAAGTCGATCTTGGGCTTGAAGTCCAGAGAGGGGCTGGCGGCGATGGAGAGTTGGGCGTGTGGAGGGTTGGTCTCCTCGCCAGAAGACATCTTTGTGCGGTCCGACATTTTGATGGTTTATGCGAGGATTGTTGGTCCGATTGGTGAAAATTGTGAGAAAGGAAAAAGTTTGACTGCCCGACGGATAGATGTAGGGTGATATTGTTGATTTGCAAGCCGACGATCAAGTTGCTCTTAAAGCGGTCTTGTGTCATACAAAGACTTGATGTTCCCACTGAACAGGCAGTATTGCCAGTGGTATCATAATCTGCCACTGTCCGAGATTCTGAACATGCGAACTTCCACTGCCTTTTATGAACACGCTGATGCTAGTGCATGAACATCAAGCTTTCTAGGGTTTACAGTGTTTATGCTGTCAAATTGGCCAGATATCTTGGGATTAAGATCTAAATAGTATTCTTCAGGTGTTATTGGTAGCTGGGACCTGTAGCTTAGAGCTTATGCTCAACATACACAACTTAGTTTATAGACATACATTAAAGGGTTCTCTGAGCACTTTTATTAGTCATCGTGGAAGAGTTTTGAGTGGAAGTTTATATTCTGGAAAATATTATCATGCCTCCATTCTTTGTGTTAGCAGGTTTGAGTTTAACCTTGTGCTCAAAAATCATCTATTGATGACGCCGAAGCCAGTGTCTTGTAGCAGCACTGACACAACACTGCTTTAAGAGAAGCCACAAACATCTATCAGATAACTTCGTTCCTCGAGAGCCCTGATTCTTCTGCCGATCTAAAATCGCTGCAGATGAAATTGGATCTCTGTACAGCTCATCTCAAGTTCGAAAAGAATCTTATCAGCCTTACTACGACTTAATATATGACCAGCTACCAGCTTTCCAAGGATATCGCGAACCCACTTACGGTTACACTCCAAAGTGTCATCCGCATCCTCGGGGTCAGTAGACCTAATGATGTGATTTACATCGTCTAGCCGAGCTCTCTTGAAGCTGGCCACCTCGAAATACAGTAATTGTCGATCTGGATGCTCCATCGTTACCTGATCCCCCGTTATTCTTCTGCAGGGATCACCATCGACAAGAAGACCTTGTTGCATTAGCCAGTGATATGGGCGTTGCACAACTACGCTCCAGAGGTTACGGGAGGCGAAGAAGGAATTATCATGAGGCAAGTCGAGTTGCTCGTGAGATGAAAAGGGGTTTACCACGATGTAAAGTTGAGTGCGTGAAGCACTGCGAGGAGGTGGCTGGGACCGGTCGTGCATTTGTTGATTGAATAAAATGGATTGTGGGAGGATTGAATGCTGAATGGTTGAGTGGTAAGTCTGTTGTTTGGAAATGTTGATACTTGGCTACATCTTTATAATCTCCTTTCCACGCTGAACATGATCATGAAATTCTCGTGCAACAGCGAACGGGCCCTACTATGGCTGCTGTTGCGAGCCACGGGAAACCGAACAAGCTGGCAACATGTATTTATTGTATTTTCTTCGGACACTTTGGACTGTTCCAATGCAAAAGTATGAAGCTTTTTGTTGTTGGTAGCTACTGGATCACGCTAGTAATAAATTCTCTGTTGAGGATGGTTTGTCGGACCAGTTGGCCGCTTTGACTGTTCTACGCGTGCCGTGGATGAAAACCTACACACGTACTACCATTTATCAATGGATCAAGGTTCATAATACTACAGACTATAAACCACCATTTGAACCTGCCACCAACACAACTCTTACTACACCGCGTAGTTGGCATTGTTATATTCTCAGGCCTCTAAACAACCTTATTCCCAGCGTCCAATTACCCCACTACCATCTCAACTTGCCTCTAACTGAAGTTGAGAGCTTATATCAAGCTCCAATAACACATCACTAACCTGTGTCTTGCCGAGAATACCACCAACAACTAAACTCTTTAGAACATCTTGCACATACTGGTGATTGCACACCAAATCACTTTTCATCTTAACGGCAGCGACGAGGTCAACCCGAACTTGAACATCTCGCAACCAAGAAGTCGGGATGCTAGTGATCTCAAAGTACTTTACGTCTTCACCAGGACAACTGAAACTTGTGTCGACCTTGGGGACGTCGGTTTGGCGAGCTTGGGTTGTTAGCCAGAGGTCATTGACGTGGTTGAGAGTGGCGAAGCTCCAGATGTTGGAGGCATGTACAATAACGAAGAGCTGGGCGTGCGAGCTGCTTCTTGGGCTCGTCTCTTTTTGGGTCAAAGTGCCTGACATTGTGACTGTTTGTAGTAGGTGTATGGGTATGAAAGATGTGGAGATTTGACTTTGCCTATATGCAAATAGGTTGAAGTTGTAGTTTAGAAGGCAACCGAATACATTGACATTTATGCAATATTTTGGACCGCCCCAGGGATTCAGGAGAAATACCGAGGAACACCCACTGTCAGGGCATCTCATCTCACTGTTTGTGTTTAACAGGCAGGCCAGTGGTATGTCTCTTTCCTCTATGAACAAACAGGTTTGTGGCAGCGCACATAAATGATGTTCGGGTGTAGCACTAAGTTGCCAGTATGCCGGCGTCCATCTGCGGTACATGATGCCGCCTGCACATCGTAGACAAGCAATAGGCGTTTGAGTTGCTCATGTATTTAATTACTGGCAGGCGAGCAAAATGAAGCACCTACTACTTCGACCGTGTTCAAGAGGCACTTCGATAGTTCCACGTATGCTTCATGCGGAATATGCTCGATGTTAGGATCGGCCAGCCTCAGAATGCCACTGCCGATGCATTTACCTTCGAACGGCCATTGACTGGGCTACAATGAGACACTCGTAAGTTGAACCAATCGTCCGCAGACCTGACTCACTTATGCCCAGCACCCCACCTTGACGTTGTTTGAAGGTCAGTCAAGCTGTCAAGCCTACCAATGGTCGGTAAATGAACATACAAGCTACTGGGAATCAGCCCGCCGTTTTTCAAGAGCTATGCCGTTTATGCGGTCATTGCCTAAAGTATGTGTTTGAGGCGAGGGCTCTGGACTTGGGGTACGGAAGCGGGACGATAGCTCCCGCGCCATGACACAGACAGCGGCTATTGGCGGATGTGCGAACTCTTGGGAGTCACTCTTAGCGCCTGGCAATGGCCTCAAATTTAGTTAGACAATGTTCATCGGCAAGCCATCGTGAAGCCTATTAAGGTTCTCGCATAATAAATTTAGATATTTGCGGAAGTGCAGCATTCCTCACACAAGTCAACTGATGATCCCTACCCAAGCCGAACATGGTATATTGGCGGTGAGCCGCCAGATGGGGCAAAGACAAACAGCATGACAATATGCCTTCCTTTTCCTGTTCAGCCAGCATTCTCAACCCCCTCTTTGTCTTGGGTGTATGGGGTTTGGCTGGCTGAAAACCCAAATTCGATATGTCAAGTGGCTGGCTGAGAAGCAAAGGATGGTCGAGAACCATAGCAAGCTTCAATAATCATGCAGCTGGACCAGTCGAGATCACCTCCGTATAACGCCATGTCTCAATTTACGAGTTCACTGCGACGAAAGAACAATGGCTCTGCTATAGTATTGATAGCTCGTATTTGCCGACGGCGACTATCTATGCGCACGATTTTTCCCTAAGCATCCAGTGAAATATATAACAGTCCAGTTTTTCAATCAGTATCACCACTCAACATCCTTCTCAACTCATATCAAACTCAACATTCTTGTACCCTTTTTACATCATGGCCTCCGCCCAAGTCAATGGCTTCATTGGGATGCAATATTCCCGTGATGGTAGTGACTATGAAAAAGGCGACTACAAATTCTTCAATGAGCAGTACGCGACTTCATCTTACATCGATGTACTTGATTCAAGCGGGAAACCAATTCACGATCTGAATCCAGCTCACATCCTAAGACCAAAGGATGATGACGACGTCAAGGCTGTCATTGAATATGCGGTCAAAAACAAAGTCGGCATCGCCATCAAGAGCGGCGGTCACCAGTACAGTGGCGCATCTTCTTGTGGAGGCAACAACGTGCAGCTTGATCTCAGCAACACGTACAAAGACTTGAAAATCCATGACGTGAACATCTCAGACAAGTCTGAAATTCATGTCGCTGATGACAGAGTCCTTGTATTTGCTGGTGTTAGCAATCAGCTGCAGGACTTCCTAGCGTACTTAACCAGCCATAAGCTATTTGTTCCTACCGGACAATGTGCTTATGTATGCCTTGGTGGTCACGGCCAGACAGGTGGTTATGGACAACTTGGTCGCAGCTTCGGTCTTCTTGGTGATTATATCGTCGATATTCGTTTGATCAACCACAAAGGCGAGGTCGTACATGTCAACCAAGGTCGGGATGCTGAACTTTTCAATGCTATTCGTGGTGGCAGTCCTGGAAACTTTGGTGTCGTCACTCATTACACTATCTCGGCATTGAAGGCCAAGAGCTACATGGGGATCGAGAACACGATCACGACTACCAACAATCCAAAGCCAGAAAAGTTCCAAGGACCTCATGGAATCAAAGCTGCCTGGATTTACAGCGAGAAAGTCCTTAGGAATCTCTTGAACATTGTCGCCAAGATGTCCGATGAGGGCACCGCACCCCGCGGGTTCGACCTTTGTGTCAATGTTCTCAGCACGGACTTTGACATCACGAAGCTGTTTCCTGCTCTGAAAACCGATGAGGAGTGGAAAGGCGTCCAAGATGTGATCTCCAAGTTACCTGGGCCCGTCAAGGATCTGTTGAATGGCAAATTGCCCCCTCTTATCGTTCTTTACGCTCAATGGTGTCCCGTTGGCGATCAGCAGAAGTATGACGCAAGCGTTGATGCATGGTTCCAGCAATTTCGAGAATTGAAGTATTTTCGCATTCAATTCGATGAAATTTCAGCAGACATGTCTGATATGGTGGGACACTGGTTGTTCCCCAAACGCAGAGAGTTCCCGCGGCCGTATGTCAAGCGAACCTATGCCACCAACTCGAAAACTCTCGGCAAAGATGGTTGGGTTGACACCCTAGTCGAGAGACTCAGCAAGATCTGCAGTCCTTATGAGAAGCTGGACGATGCGAACCAGAAGCCGGTGGATAATCCACTGTACGATAATTGTAAGATCTCAGCCCAGATCCAGTGCTTCGGCGGAGACAATTCGATGTTCTACAACAACCGCAACAACGGAGCCGCCTATAGTTGGAGAGATTCTACTGTTCTCCAGACTGTGGACTGTTGGTATCTTAACAGGACCGATCCAAACTATAAAAAGTCGCTGGAACTCGCAAACGAATGGCAACAAAAGAATGACAGCGTCATGATTGGTGCCAACAGCTGCTTTAGCAAAACCGATAGGCGCGTTCTTTGGGGCTCTTGGGGTGATTGGGATATGGCTAAGCCTGAGGTCTGGAAGACTTATTATGAAGATGAGGCTAAGTATCAGAGTATCGGCAAGGTCAGGGCTACAGCGGATCCAAAGGGCACCTTTACTGCTAATCCATTTGCAGTTGAACGCCAAGGATAGTCAGATAGCACTTAGCCAGGTTATTCAGTCTTTATAACTGTCCTTTCACGCAAGTGATGTTCGAAGTCATCTTCATAACCTAGCTAAATTTCCATCACCGCTAGCTCAGCTTCTCAACGAACTACAGGCCTTACACCATTATAACAGAATGTACTACTTTTAAAGATATAATCATTCATCACCTTCGTTCTCAGCCTAAAGCTTAACCTTCTAGGCGGCAGTAGTCAACCCCGCAGTTCTTTGAAGGCATGGTCTTCAAAGAGCCAAAAACAGCTTTTGCGGACTCTTTCCCATCTAAATAAACCTATTTACTCAATCTAATCCAGTTACATGAGTCACATAACACATGACAGCCGGTTTGCGGGCTACCCGAGATGAATTTAGTGAGAGAAAGCGGTACGCCTGCCACAGATTTCAGAAGTCTCATGTGCCACAGACACGTGTCTTCTCAAGTTTGGAGCGGAGACCAACAGAAATGGGGGCTATTTCAAGCCCTCATGCTTGGCACGAAAATGCTGCGCCAATGGATGGCCTTGTTCGCCAGCCTGATTGTGATGGATGTGCATAGCCCCCGCAATGGCGTTGTTGGGCGTCTCACCGTCCTATCAAAGCCATCAGACCAAGCAATTATTGGCTTACAGGTCTCACAATTCCAAAAGCTGGAAGCACTGCGCCACATGCGAGCGAGCCTGAAAACATCTTGGTGGATGGATGAATCAACCCCAGAAAACGCCTAAGGTGGAGTGTCTGGCTGTCTGGAAACCCGTCACCGACTCTAAGCAGATCTGCTGGTGAATGAAACAAAGGTATTATAATATTTGTTAAGATACAATGGCCGAGCTGGCTCTAGCTATTGCCGGCGTTGCTGGCACAGTCGATGTCTGTATCAAGTAAGAATACCCGAGTCAGACCTCACGGCAATTTCTGACAGTTCTAGGTTAGGGAAATATCTCATCCAGGCCTACAAGGACTATGGCCAGGTCGACAAATTAGCCGACGAGGTGTCGGTAAGAATACAGATTTGCTGGTCTCGAATTGCCAGCCAGTTAGAGATCATTAAAGAACTCGAGAGTGGCATGACCGAGGATCAGCGAGAGCTACAGTCGCACATATTACGCATCTTGCAGTCGAAGCTTGAAACTGCGACAGTTGTTATCTCTAAACCCGATAAGCATGGTAGCTCGAAAAGATACAAGGCTCTGCATTTCCTTAATCTCCGAGAAACCCTCGAAAGCACCGTTGCCGATCTTGAGTCCTGGCAAAAGCGGTTCGAGCCATCGTGGTTCCAAATTATTAAAACCGGCCCTGCTAACACCGAAAATGTGTTGAAAAGCGTTACTAGAACCAGCACACGAGGTGGAGGGGAGCCAGCTCGCGAGGGCTTGAAGTTCCGCGAGGCTTTCAACAATAGCGAGACTGTAAAGCTTGCAGAAAAGGTACTCGAGAACCTTGTAACCCAAGCGATCCCGTATTGTGAGACCGAGCTTGCAATCAAACTGAAGGAGAATAAATATTTTATCATACGGTTTCTCGGGATACAGTTGCGCTGAGGGATGCTCGAGAGCTTGCATCACGCCTTCGAGACTCGGACCCTTCCACGTTCGGAACCTTGAAATGCAAAGGAGTTGTTCAAGTCACCAAGGCGCCTTTGTTAAAATTTGTTTTCAGTGTCCCAGAAGGGTATACCAGGGTCCGCAGCTGCAGGGAACTTCTCCTCTCTGGCATTGTGCCTGATTCACTGACAACGAGACTCAATATCGCGCGGCAGCTTGTCACAGCAGTTTACTACGTACACCTTTACGAATTCGTACACAAGAACATCACGCCGGAGAAAATACTCATTCTAGAGTGTCCAAGCAAAGAGAAGGAGTGTATGCTTGTATGTCTAGCTGGGTTTCAGCTTTTCCGATATGCCGACTCGCCGACAAACAGTTCCAAGGCCGAGAAACGAAGTGCAGTATATCAGCATCCTACTCGAACTGGGGGCAAGACTGTGAAGTATGTCATGCATCATGACATATACAGTCTTGGTGTTTGTCTTTTGGAAATTGGCCTCTGGCGATCGCTTGTTGAATATGATGGTGCTACTACCAGTTTATCCCCAGTGTTTCCTAATAGCCGGGGTTGTCTCTCGGAGCTAGATTCACAGGCCATCAAAGAGCAGTTGATGCTCCTCAGTCGTACCGAACTGAGAATGTGTATGGGTGATATATATAGTACGGTGGTTGAGACGTGCTTGACGTGTCTGGACGAGGGCAATACAGGCTTCGGCGACCCCCAAGACTTTGATAATGGGGGAGGAGTCGAGGTTGGGTCGCAATATGTCGAAAGTATCATGGATCGAATGGGCGCGCTTTGTTTTTAACAATATTCTGTAGGATTGATATATCTCGTTGAGATATCATAAGCTTTAACTATCAATCAATACAAGCTCAAGCGTTTGTTTTCCTTGATTTATTACACGTCTTGAGATCTGCAAAAGCCTTTCATACAGTTGTGATATCCAATGATATGCCACTGTAGTAGGCTATGCTGCGAGCGGAAAAAGCTATATGCGCTCCGAAGAGAAGTTGGAGCTTGAAAGTCAGCCCTCTGCGGCTGAATGATTGCATGCTGACCTTTCCCTCTCCTTCAACAACGCCCGACTGGATTAAGCACGCTTTCTGGACTGGAATGTCGATGCTCTAAAGTATTCAATCAGTCAATCGCGCGTTATTCGAGTACTGTTATAATCCTCGAGTACCAACATGGATAGTTCTCTTTCAGACCTAGTTCATGACTACCAACTAACCACGCGTTACGAGGGTGCCTACACTATTCACTACCATCGCGATCCTGACGCACCCCCTTCAGCCCCTCATCGTCAAGAACGGTGGAAAAAAGTTCGTACTCTTGGTCATGGTGGCCAAGGGGATGTTATCTTACAAACATGCACCGATGGAGGTCGAAACTTTGCCAATCGCGCCGTCAAACGAATTCGACTGGAGAGTGAGAATTCCAAACGATACTACAGACGCGAGCTCGAATCCATAGTTAAGTTTTCCCATGAAAAGGTAAATCAGTGTGCAGTCCCTTGCAAACGCATCGTCTCTCGGCACAGCCATCTAACATATCCCAGTACTCTCAGTATTTTGCCAAGTCCCTCGGATGGTATGCGACATCGAATAAGCTGTACATAGCTATGGAATTCTTTCCAGATGGAGACTTATATGCCTACATTCGCGACCACAGACGTCTGACAGACGATGAATGCAGCCACATCATTAGTCAACTCCTGTCGGGTGTCGCTGTTATGCACGAAGCAGGATTTGCCCATCGTGACGTAAAGCCTCAGGTTGGTTCTGAACCAGTATTTTGGACATGAAAGCTAACTTGTTGGTAGAACATTCTAGTCTATAAAATCCCACAGGACCTCGCCCCAAGTTCTTGGTGGGTGAAGCTTGCTGATTTCGGTATTAGTAAGAAGTTAGGGGCGGAGACGACCGGAACAACCCTGGCTCCAGGGACTCCATTATATATGGCACCGGAGCTCCTTCAATACGACTCTCGGAGCATCTTTACCGACAATTACTTCAAGGCAGACATATGGGCTATAGGGATAACTGCTTTCTTCATTTTGACAAAGAGCGTGCCATTCCGAAGTCAGCTTGCAATATTGCACTATACAGGGAACTTGGAAGACCTTGCAACTATCCTTGTCAGTTTCCAAGTCACTGAGAACGCTCAGAACTTTGTCGCTGAGATATTAAAACCACAACCGTGCGAGAGACCTGACGCAGAAAGGGTAAAGCAACATACATGGATTCGCCATTGGCTGCCAGAAATTCCACTGCTGGGGGCATTCAGCAGGTAAGTTTTGAATCTCCCACTTTTAACCGTAGTACTGACCTTCAAAGGCAGTCTACAATTTCGTCCTGTCGAAGTTCTGTTCAAGATAGCACGGGGGTAACAACAGAGATCTCGACGCTAGCCTCACAAACCGTTTCGCAAAGGTGGCCTGGCAATTTGCATGATCTTGACATTTTGCCGAAGACCCGAGATCAGGTACAGAATATAAACAACATTCCTTCCAGGGTAGGAGAAATGGAAATTCCGATTGCAGAGACACAATGGATTACCGAAAAGCAAAATCATAGACCTGCAAGCATGGGTAATCTGATACGAAATTCACAAAGCCCTGGAATATGGCGAGACGTTAATATTTTACAACAACTCCGTGGTTGGATTGGCACTGGAGATATCGACATGGTTCGGTTGCTTGTAGACCGCGGAATTGATGTTAATGCTCCAGACGAAAATGGCCGAACACCACTGCACCTGTCGGCTACCATTGGCAATGTAGAGATGGCCCGTGTATTGTGTGAAGGGGGTGCAGTCATCGAAACAACAAATGAAAGTGGTCATACGCCACTTCAAGTAGCGGCGATGAAAGGCCATACAGACGTGGCCGAGCTTTTGCTTGAGAAGGGTGCTGATATTGAGGCAAGCGACAACTATGGCGGTTTCACTCCTTTGGGCTTCGCAGCAAGCATGAACCATTCTGCTGTCACGAGACTCTTGCTTGACAAGGGGGCGAACGTTGAAGCAACGAACCAGGTTGGGCATACACCGCTTATTTCTGCTGCAAAGAGTGGTTCCGAGGCTGTGGCAAAGCTTCTACTCAATCACGGGGCTCATATTGAAGCAACCGACAAATCAGGTGGTACACCGCTTATCTGGGCTGCGAGAGCTGGGTCAGAAGGTGTCATCGAGCATCTTATCCATCATGGAGCCAACGTCAATGTAAGCGAGTACTCAGGCTTCACACCACTGCGCGAGTCCAGGAAAAAAGGCCATTATGGTGTTGAGAAGCTATTGCTTAAAGCAGGTGCTCGTATCGATGGCAGCAAACCAGAATTGAGTTCGTCACTCCATGAAGCGGCACAGCACGGTTACTACGATCAGATGATAATTCTTCTGAGGCGGAGAGGTGCAATCATTGAACATAAGGATGACTTCGGACGGACACCACTGATTCTGGCTGCAAGGGAGGGACATATGGACACTGCATGGTTATTATTTAAGTATGGGGCCAACATGGAAGCATTCGATCACTCGAACCATACTCCTTTGATGGCAGCTTCAGACCAGGGAAGAACGTCCATGGTAATCATGTTGATCAGAAATGATGCAGATGTCTTGGCGCGAGATGTTGAGGGCAACACATCGATATCTTTGGCTTCACGAAAAGGACACCTTGGAACGGTTGCATGTTTGTGTAATAGCACTTCAGTCAATCTTTCCAACAATAGTGGCGAGACACCGCTGATTTTGGCTGCTAAGGGCGGTCATGCAGAGGTGGCCAAAAAGCTACTTGACGCTGGTGCCGACATCAACGCCAGTGACAACCAAGGATTTACTCCGCTTATCGTGGTTGCAGAACAGGGGCATGTAGAAACAGTGAAACTTCTGGTTGAGCGTAAAGCTCAACTTGACAGCACATCACTAGGTGCGCCTGCAGCCTTGATAGAGGCCGCCAAGGAAGGCCATGAAGCCGTGGTGGAGGTCTTGCTCGAAGAAGGTGCCGCAATCGAAACTATGGATGCTTCAGGGGCTACAGCGCTGGTTCATTCTGTAAGACGTAACCACGAAGCGGTAGTGGCGCTTCTGCTCCAGATAGGGGCGAATGCTGAGGCAGAAGACGAATATGGCGAGGCTTGCTTGATGATAGCTACAAAGAACGGCAACAAAGCTATAATGGATCTACTCACGCAGCACGGGGCCAAGAAAAGCTGGTTCTATTACCGTGCTCGTATGTCTTTAGGCTACTAATATCACTCACTTATCTTCTTTACGGTGTACGAGTCAGCGCCAGTAATACCAATGAACAATTTATATAGAAGGCGAATAGGGCATGGTAGTCTAGACAAAGACAAGGTGAAAAGGCTAGAAATCTCATTTGCTGGAAATCTCAACATATATCTCCATTCCCTTTTTGAAGACCTTGGATGTAAACAAGGCGAGGGTGCGATCGTCAGGCTTGTATTGCAACAGGCTGCCACCAGGTAGAACTCGAACCTCGTACCCGTTTGGAAAGGTAGAAGTAGGTAAAATGATCTCAGTCGGTGCACCAATGGTAGGATCGCTGGTGAAGTTCAGCTTGAAGATACCGAATGCCTCATCAAACCCAAACGAAGTAGGCGTCCCCGCGATGGCAGCCGGGTAGGCGCGACTGTAATGCTTCTCCAGCTCTGTATATGGCTTGCCTGATGTACCATTATACAGATTCTCGTATGCCCATCCTATCCAAGACACCATGTTCGCGTCTGTCGTAGTCATGGCTTCCGCAAGGCCAGCCATCTGCTTATCATCGCCCATCCAGAACGTCAACTCTGTAAGAACGCCGGCAGTCTTGAGTCGAACATTATCTTTTTGTCGGTTGTAGAGTGTATCCTTTAGCGGGCCCAGCTGCGGGGGATTATAGTAGTGAAATGAATGTACTGTCTTGGACCCGTCACCGAGAGGTACGTTGTTGAAGCCTGACAGAACATCGAAGGTAGTACCCTCAAACCAGATAAGCGTATCATTGTCAACCGTGCGTATCTGTTTCGATGCTCGGTTCCAAAGACCCTCCAAGTTTTTGCGATCCGCAACACCGGGCACGAGAATTGTTGGGTCGGCATATGTGTCGCCAGCCCAAGGTTCGTTGAGGAGATTGTACCCCACGACATTCGTAGTGTCAACATACTCCGACGCCAGTTTCTTCCAATACGCGGCGAATGCGTCTCCAAGCCCATCAAAGTTGTTGTAAAGTCTCCCGACAGCATTTCCAACGGCCACGGATAAGTAGCTCAGTGACCAATCGATGGTACCGCATTGGGATTGAGGCGAAGGAAAGCCGTCACCATCAGTCGTGAATGGCTTGAGCTTCTGTGGGAATGGGAACCTTCTGAATCCCGGAACCCAGTCCTTCTTCACGAACCACTAACTTCATGTTAATTAATGCAGGACTGTAGGGCATTTGCTTACTCACGTCAGGTACACCATGACCACAAAGTTGTTTAGCCAGTACGTCTTGGTGCACGTCCACCAGCACATAGATGCCGTGTTCCTCTGCCAGTTTTGTCTGCTTCTTCATGATATCCAAGAAGGTCTGGTTATACTCGCCGCGAACTGGCTCAGCACCAGCCCAGCTATGACCCAGCCGGACAATATTCAGCCCCAAGTCGTGCATATTCTGAACATCTCGTTCGCCGAATGATGAGACACCCGGAGTCCATTCAAAAGGCCTGTACCACGGTGCCTCTTTCATAACAACATTGGTTCCGTGAAAGAACCTAGTTCTTCCATACTCGTCAATGATCTGATGTGTATCCTGATTCACATGCTTGATCCGGGCCATGTTTGGATGAGACTTGTACCAATCCTCTGCATCTTGTGCGAATACGCTTGTAATTTGAGTGCACGATATGACCAAAAGCCATACCGCTACAGAAACGTAGAGCATGTTAGTGGTGATAGCTGTATATCGATCGCCTGGGAATTTTGCACCAGCCCAGGTATCCAACAGGTTCAGCCACAAGACAATTGACGAGAAAAATATGTGAAGTCCGCCTGAAGCTAGAAACTAATGGGATAGCTGGTACTTCATTCTCATTTTTTTAAGGAGATCTCTTTCATTTTGTCGATAAGTACTTCGTGTATCTGAGCTAGCCGCATCGAGTAGGTGTCACTTAATAGAACCAGATATTGTTACATGCAGGAGGGAAAAGCAACCTTTCTCCACATCCAGGTTGGCATTTGCTATCAAATTCATCTTAAAACCTGATCTACAGTACCAAGTAGGGTTGGGTTAATGCCCAATTGAGGCTTGAATTGTCACTCGTGATCACCCTCAATGCTGTTGTACCGAGGTTCACTCAACCGCGCCCAGCACGTGAGAAGAGATGCAGCGAGTTCTAATTTCAATTGGGTTTCCACCTTTCAATTACAATCAGATGTCCATGAAAGAGCTACGTTAACTGCCTTCAAGTGAGGGGAAGTATCGGGGCTCTCGCTCGAGGTGGCTATCGCCCTACACCTATTATTATCGCCGCCGCAGATTGATCTCGACGTCTTCTAGCATTTCTAGTAACGTGTAAAAATTTCCGCTTATTCTCAACCGACGAGTAAATGTCTTCCCCTGTATTCTGCTCATTACTCCTGGGAAGTATGCAATTCAACAAGCCTCTCCGACAGCTCCCAGAGCTTTCGTTCTGCTTCCTCATCATAGATCCACGCAGCGTGTCCCAGTTCAGGAGACGTTGGCTCTACACCCGGCCTCACCAGTCTCTCTTCCACAAAATCAGCCAGATACTTCCCACCGCGTCCTTCCCAATCCTGACTGACTGCCGCATAGACAGTCGTAGCAGCACCTTGAGCTTTGTTCCTCAAAGCATTCTTGATGGGTCCATCCAAATCGATCGTGCTGAGGTCAATATACTTACCTAAGTTGGTGAGTATATATCCAGGATGCACTGACAAGCCATGAATGCCTTGATCTGCATATCGCCTATCAAGCTCGGATGCGAAGTAGATGTTCGCTGTTTTGGATTGAGCATATGCGAGCCATGGATTGTAAGCCTCTTTCTCGAAGTTGTAGTCATCCCAGCGTATACCACCAGCGCGATGACCCTTTGACGCAAGGGAGATAACACGAGATTGGAAGGAAGGCATGGTGGCTGCAAGAAGAGCTGTCTTGAGAAGCTGGAACAGAAGAAAGTGTCCAAGATGGTTTGTCCCAAATTGGGTCTCGAAGCCATCTTCAGTTTTACCCTCAGGAGTAGCCATGACTCCGGCGTTGAGGATGAGAATGTTCAACTTGTCAACTTTGGCCAGGAAGTCTTTCGCCGCGGTTTGTACGGAATTGAATGAGTCAAGTCTAAGCTCGATGCCGTATACAGGTGCCTCTGACTTTGCTTCCGGCCATGAGACAATGTCTTTAATGCCCTGCTCGATCTTCTCTGGAGATCTTGCGGTGATGTAAACCGTAGCTCCGGTTGCATGGAGAGCTCGGGCGGTCTCGAGACCGATGCCTTGATTGCCGCCCGTGATAAGGACGACTTTGTCGGTGAGTTTGTTGAGAAGGCCCTCATCTTTGACGATCTGGAGTGCTGTGGGTCTTGCGTCCCCGGGACCCTGGGGGTTTATGTGAACTTGAGCGTAGCGAGACATGGAGGAGATATTATAGTGATTGTTTCTTAAGCTTCTGAGTATGAGACGAATTGAGGATAGATAGAGCCTGTATACATGCTTCTCATGACCTCTTTATAATTCTCAGCTTCCACCTATTCTCCAGTTTTTACGGTGTCGATAGTGGTAATCCTGGCTTGGTCATCAGGCTCCGCGTCTCGGCAGTTCAGGGCACATGGGGGACGCATGATCATCAGCCAAGGCCACGATTGAAATCAGATACTATTGAAAAAATGAGACAGTAGTATCAAACTTCAGGGGTCTAGTTTAGAGTTTGTAAATATATGATTGATTGGATGATGTGAGCCATTTCGCTTACCCGATATCTCCGGACTCTATCATCACGACTGGCCCAGTTTAAGCGATGAAGTGGCTGATATCAGCCACTATTCCATGCTTAGAAATCAGGAAGAAGGGGATTTAGCTTCAACAGTAATAGTGTAATTGCTGCGATATGGTCATTGGACGAGAACCCCTGTCACGCCCGAATAACAATCACGCCCGAGTGATAGCTCCATACTTCGACAATGGTAATGCAGATTACAAACGCTGTATAACTATGGTATCTTAGTTGCCGTACTTGGCGAATTGTACTTCAGAAGACGCCGACGATGCACTCCCTCTCGGTACGTGCTGCAGATCACTCGATCCTTCTCCCTCCAAACTACCTCTATCATGTACGCCATGACCCGGATACCGTTCGCTACGGACTGATATCTCAGTTGTCTTGACCAGACTCGACTCATTGCCGAATACACGATGACTCTCTTCACCCTTCCCAACACGAACCTCGTACTCTCCAGTGATTGTTCCCTGAGGCCCAGTATGTTTCCGCCGGTCGCGATTCAATGTCTCCAAGCCTACATCATCGTGGTGGGTGGCATTGTGACTGCGACCATAAGAGCTCTCGTTCCTTCCGCGGGTAAGTTCGACGAGACGGTTGAGGATACTGAACTCGAGCTTGAGCTTGACGCTGTATACGAGTGGTTTCCACGCGGTCTGAATGTCGAAGAGATTCGCGAATTCGAGGGCGAGAATGGAGACGTCGAGAAGGATGACGAGGACGTTGACGATGAGGAGATGATTCAGTACCATGCGTGTTTTGGTGTTGCCGACGCTCTTCTCTAGTCTGAGACGCTTGCTTGTTTCCCAGACGTAGAGACCCGAGATGATGAGTTCTTGGACAAAGAAGACGCTAAGCTGGATCTTCTCAAAGACCTCATATGGCTTTTGAAAGGGCTCTGGGTTCGATGATCCTACACCATAAACAAGGATGATTACAGGGAGATGCAACCAGGTGGCATTGGCGATGATCATGTACAACACCATCCTCAACCTCTTCTGATTGTGCATAACGATATGCAACCTCGAGTACAAAACAACAGACTGTCCTGTAATCATGGTACACCACCCGATAAGTATAAGCGTCGAGTAAAGATATTTCTGCGCCGACAGCGACAGATGGAGAATGAGGTATCCCGTTCCATTGAAGGCGATGCCCCAAGTGGCGATGACCAAACTCCAGAAGTAAAGTCCGCTTCGTCTCTTGAAGCTGCCGAAGATGTAGGCATTGAGCTCGAGGACATTGTAGAAGGCGATGCTGATAAATACGCAGATCACGATCGCGACGGCGCCGTTTTTGGTGTTGTCGGCCATGTCATTTCGGTGCGGTGATGGGACGGGGATACAGATCGATCGGCAGACCAGGGAATAAATGAGCGAATTGAATAGAATGAAAGGAAGCGATACGCTGCTTTAGCAGTAACTGGGTTAAAAACGACAGAACCAACAACAATTTGTTGGCTGTCGGTGCTGCAAAGGTCTTAAGTAAAACCGACAACACCATCTTTTCTCAACCTCCTTCTTGTCTCCCTCCAGTGGCGGTCTCACCATCAAGTTTCCTCCTTCCATATCACGCAACTGATAAATTCCATGCTAAGCTCATTTGGTGACTGGATCTTTTGCTCTGATAAAGTTCAAGGTTTGGCAGTTTTGGCTAATCAAACTCAAACTCTATTTTTCTGCATGTTGGTTCCATCCCTGCCTCAGCTGTTGAAGGGGTGCATGGGGTTGACTACAGTTGTGCTGCGATCGCCATCTTTTTACTCCGTAAAGAAGAAGATCAATATCAAGGGTATCGCTACCAATGCAGTGGTAAAGATGAGACGAATCCTGAGATCTGACATATCTGCATCCGTGGTTCTTCAAAGTGAAAAAGATCGTCATTTCGCTCACGCATCATCTCGGAAAGTTCCTTCGCCATATGCCGTAAGAGTGCGTCACACCAGGTTTTCACACCTACTCGATTGAGCAAGTCGTAATGTTCACAGCAGGGTCCTTTCCCAAGCGCAAGCCACGATTTAAGCTGGTGTCGAAAAGACCTCCAATCGCAATGCTTTCCTTCGCACTCGTGTCCGTTATTCAGCGGCAGTTTCGGTCGGCGATTAATAAAAACAACCCTTATTGTTGGGACATGTGCCGCTGCCAAGGAACGGGAACCACATTATGTAGTTGTGGCGTGGCTGCAGGTTACAGGAGGTTGTGTTGGTTGTTGGTCGTCGGTTCAGTTCGATATTGATTCCAAGACCCCTGTAGGCAGGGTTCATCCCGATTCTTCCAGGGCAGTTCCCTTCCATTCTCCGAATCAGCCCTGTCCGGAAGACATGCCCAGATCCCCGAGTCAGTCTAGAACTCACTCAATCGTAAGTTATTCTTCCCCTGCTCAACGGACCAACATCTGCTTTCCCTCTGTCTCCCAAACTCTAAACATGCTAATCTCCCCACATTCTACTACCCCGATCCCCAGTGCCGAAGCGCTGATTGACCCGCGTAAGCCGGCGACCCACGCTAGCTTAAGCTTAACGCTGCAGATCTTGCACGTTCTTGGAGTACAACGCCGAGACAACCCTCGTTAATGCCTCGTCGCTGTCATTTCAGGCGGAGATGATGAGTTCGCAGCGACTGATTCATTGCGCATATTAAAAGTGTCTCAGTCAGCTCCATCCTTTCTCGGAGACCTGTCACACCAACCATTCATTCGTCATGCCTTCTACCATTTCTGTACTTGCTGCGGGGGTTCTCGTGCCCGTTTTGGGCGCCGTGGCTGCTAAGCTTCCTTCTACGGCCCAGATTATTGACCAGAAGTCGTTCAATGTCTTGAAGGATGTGCCGCCTCCCGCAGTGGCTAATGACTCTCTGGTATGTCACTGCAGCCTTGTCGCTGATTGGTACTAATGATTGTGAGTAGGTTTTCACTTGGCCTGGTGTAACTGAGGAGTCTCTTGTTGAGAAGCCTTTCCATGTCTACGATGAAGAGTTTTACGACGTCATTGGAAAGGACCCCTCTTTGACCCTCATCGCAACATCGGACACCGACCCAATCTTCCATGAGGCTGTCGTATGGTACCCTCCTACTGAAGAGGTCTTCTTTGTGCAGAATGCTGGCGCTCCTGCTGCCGGCACTGGCTTGAACAAGTCTTCCATCATTCAGAAGATTTCCCTCAAGGAAGCCGACGAGGTCCGCAAGGGCAAGAAGGATGAGGTCAAGGTCACAGTTGTTGACTCAAACCCTCAAGTCATCAACCCCAATGGTATGTCAGCCTAGCAATCCGCATTGGAAGTTGACTAATTTTCTGCCTCAGGTGGCACTTACTACAAGGGCAACATCATCTTCGCTGGTGAGGGCCAAGGCGACGATGTTCCCTCCGCACTTTACCTCATGAACCCTCTCCCTCCTTACAACACCACCAGTGAGCGGTAAACATACTTAGACGATAATATTTGAAGCTAACCTGAGTCAGCCCTCCTCAACAACTACTTTGGTCGTCAATTTAACTCCCTCAACGACGTCGGTATCAACCCCAGGAACGGTGATCTGTACTTTACCGATACCCTCTACGGATATCTCCAAGACTTCCGTCCTGTTCCTGGTCTGCGAAACCAAGTCTATCGTTATAACTTTGACACTGGCGCTGTCACTGTCGTTGCTGATGACTTTACCCTTCCTAACGGTATGTCTTTCGTCATGGTAGAGTACACGTAACTAATTTTGATCAGGTATTGGCTTTGGCCCCGACGGAAAGAAGGTCTATGTCACCGACACTGGTATCGCTCTCGGCTTTTACGGTCGCAACCTGTCTTCACCCGCCTCTGTTTACTCGTTCGATGTAAACCAGGATGGTACGCTGCAGAACCGCAAGACCTTTGCTTACGTCGCGTCTTTCATCCCTGATGGTAAGGCTCCTCTGGCCCGTTGCATTATCATGTACTGACCCCTCTAGGTGTTCATACCGATTCCAAGGGCCGTGTTTATGCCGGTTGCGGTGATGGTGTCCACGTCTGGAACCCTTCTGGCAAGCTGATCGGAAAGATCTACACCGGAACTGTTGCTGCGAACTTCCAGTTTGCCGGTAAGGGAAGGATGATCATTACTGGACAGACCAAGTTGTTCTATGTTACCCTGGGTGCTTCCGGGCCCAAGCTGTATGATTAGATTTGTTTTTGACACATACAAGCATTATGTATTGAGCTATATCCACAGGCTGTGCTTCAAGCCTTGCGATTCTTCTACACATATTAATGGATCATCGCCTTGATCAAACTTGTAACCATTTGGCAAAAGTTGGCATGTACATCAAACCACAAGATATCATCGCGTTATTCTTAGTCATGATCAGTAGCTCAGCAATAATTCGACTTTGCAAAATATCGCTCAATGTGACAGATATAATCAAATTTGCGCCTGCAGCCGTAAGATCCTGGAGGGCCTCTTTTTGCTTCTGTCCAATGATCTTCACGGAAAGGCACACGTCTAGATTATCTGCTTTAGCTCATCATGGCTGCACCAAGAATCGGCCTGGATTGGCGACTCCAGAGTTTTATTTATCCGCTGACGGTTCCTCAAATATCCTCACAGAAACATCATTTGTCCGAGCATCTAATCCCTTCATATCACTTTACTTGTGAAAAACGAACTTCATCTTCAGCACGTCAGGATCCGCGGGGATCTACGTCTAATTCCATATGAGGGCTTGCGGAACAGGTATGAGATCAAAACTGACACCATTGACTTTGATGTCGGTGGACAGAGCGTGGAAGGCAATACATGCCAGGCGCTGGTCAACCGAAGTTATGCAAGTACTACTTGGAAGACGGCTCTGCAACCTGAAGGCTCAGCGGTCTATACCTACAAGTGGATTTATAGCAACTTCTACTCTCTTTCTGGGTAAACATCTAATAAATTTAATCGCCAGCTCAGGTATTTAGGGACAGCTTACTCTTTATTCGCCAAGTTCATGGTAAGTAAACTCTAGCTTGGTCATACTTGTAGCAATAACCTCCCTCAGACTATAGTTCATGATCTTGTTCTGAACTACAAGCCAGTTGAAAGCATTAATATTGTCTTGAGTTGACGAAAGTTCCAGAAGCGGCATGGGATCATGGGATTCCATGTCCTAGAGTGTCGCCCAGCTCTCAAATTTTACCTCAGAGAAGTCACAGAGCCAGGACCATTCTGCAATACTATTGCAGGTTTGGCATAAGTAATTTGCAGATTTGCACTCTGCCCTGGATCTATCTATAATTCTAAGCAATGTCTTGGCGCAAGGTAACAATAGGTTCACTTAGTAGCAGGGACGATCAATCTTTGACTTGGCTTGTATCCTTTGATCGATTTGGAGCTTTGTGCACGGTGGAGTGGAGATGGTGTTAGATCGGATTGTGTGGGGTGGATACCCTAGATTAGGCTCAGGCAGCTAATAAGACCCCAATTACACGTAAGGAAAGAAGAGCGTAGTCACTAAGATAAGCATTTGTATATGACAAAAACATGCGACGAGGTGCGGGAAACAGGCACTGAAATAGCGTTCACTAACCTAACCAAACTCATGCAAAGGCCATTTCCATTTAGTGCTTCTCCTAAGGAATTGCCATGGCCAGATTGGGGGACGCATCGGAACCTACCTCAAGCTCTGATTTAGTACGCTCTACATCACTGATAAAAAGGGTGTCTGCTCGCACCCCAGCTGATAGGGCACAGGGTATTGGCCTCAGCAGGTTCACCAGTAGGTCAATAGATAACTCAAGAGAAATATCTCTGTTGCCTCAAATACTTTCACACTATCAATAAAATGTTCTCTTTTGGTCTAGATAATGTGCCACTTGGATAGATCTCACAACTTCAGTACCCCGACGGCTAATGATGTGTATATTCATCTCGATCCAACACCATTTTTTTATCTACAAGAGATCCGAAATATTGGCGCCAGCATCTTGGACGTTAGTAGCCCATTTGCCAGGAGTAGTCTGTTCAACGCATCAGTAAACGTCGCTAGTAGAAGTCTGAACTAACTTACCTGGAGGTAGAGAACACCATCTTCGATTACAGATTCGTTGTAGTTCCCCTTCTTCAATGCGCTCACAGTACGAAGGGCGATCTCAGCTTTGCTGACGACATCAAAGAACCCTTCTTGAAGCATGTCATCACCCGGAAACTTCTGCGACTCTAACTGCGAGACAAGTCCATTGAAGTAACCGTGAACGGCATTGCCAAAGTTGTTCTCCCAGTGCTTTATGAGTGTCGTGCCAGGCCTTTCGCTCTCGGATTTGAGCGCTGCGTAGTTCTCCTCCAGCCGAGGGTCGAGCTTGACAGGTTGACC